TGTTGTTTTCGAATTTTTGAATAGAATCGTGCAAAAGTGTAATTTGTTCTTTAATAAGTGTTTTGAATTTTCGTTGATTGTCAGAGAGAGTAGTAATTGCCTTATCGTATCTTTCTGCGTCGACCTGCTGATCCAAATTTCCGGTTATGGATTTTATAATGGATCCTAATCCATCGATCAAGCCCCGTTTTGTCCGTTTATTAAATGTGGGATTAAGTTGATTAATTTTGAGTATTATTTTATCTTCGAGTAGTTTTATTAAGTGGTATGAATTATAACTTTCATTTTTATGTAAATTAAGTTTTTCGATTTCAGGCTTTAAAAGTTTAAATTGTTGGTGTAGCTTCGAAAACTCTTCTACTATTATCGTTATATCAAAAATTTGAATAAATGACCAAGAATCAATCATATTTTGGGCGTTGCCAATTTTAAGGGTAGCAATCTGGGATTTTCATTAAGGCTATGAAATTTGTGTGGTTCGAACCCATGACAGACGATTAATCTGAAAGAAGAGGAATTTTAAGTTCTTTAATATGTATAATTTCCGATTTGCCGGTTGATTCGTTCTGAATTTTCACTTTGTTGTGTTCCAAAATTTCTATTATTGTATAAGGACCTTTAAATTTATTTTCATTTTTATTTCTTTTTTCATTAATTTTATATACCGTCTGACCTAATTTAAACTGATATTGTTCTGGACCTCGGTAGTTTCTAGAGTCTAGAACGTTTTGTTTTTTTGTTTTATAACCTCTTATCTTCTTTTTACGCCGGTGCTACTTTCGGAGAGCGGGTTCTTCTCGTGGTGTTTGCACTTACCTTGGATTCAACTTCGTTGCTAAACTCTTCCTAACCAAAAATAATAGGGCGCCACTCAGTGGTTATGGTGGAAAGGAGGGTTGGGGGGACTGAGACCACCCAACTTCACCAATGCTCTTTTTATTTAATATAAAATAAATTAAATCGACTAATTAGGTACATTATGAAAAAACTATGACTTGAAATCAAAAAAATGTGGTGGGCAGGAGTTCGGTTGGTTGTAGCGTTTAGCAGTCCTTGAACGCGGTTAATTCACCTCCAGGTTGGCGGTTCGACAGACTTACCAGGATGACAGGATGACACCTCTCCTTGACACTAACTCTTCATCCCTTTTTAGTGAACAACGACACCCCAAAACTTCCGTGTCTTTTTCTCTCGACCTTCTCTCGTCGCCGTCTCAAAACCGAAAGCCACGCTCTTCTCGAACCTTCCATCTCCTACCCCCCTACTCTCTAAATGCGCGCGTTATTTAAATCGTGGTAACATTTTCATGTTACACTACCCCCCTCCTAAAAGAAAAAAATATATGGCGTGCAACGAATATATTTTTTAACAAAAAGAAAATTCCGGAAAAACCTCTAATGAAACAAAATTGCAACACCTTATTACAAAAAAAAATGTTGTCGGGAACACTTTCGCTTTCGTCTTTATAATTGGGTAACTGCGCGTACCGAACGGTTAATAACATAGAACGGGTATTAACTGAAAGTCATATGAATGACGCGGTAAGATGAAATGTCACAGCCGGGAAAAGTCACAAATTGGGTAAATCGCAAATCGGGTTTCGAAAATCATTCCAACAACAATGAAAACAAAAAGGGAAGAAAGAGAAGAAAAAAAAAACTAAACTGAAAAATGAAAGTTAACAAACCGAAACTAAAACTACTAACCTTGGGACTCGACATCGGAATCTTCGGCCGAAATAAAGGGCTTCAAGTTCTTTATGTGCCAAACACCTATATTTGCGTTGGATTCATCCACCAGCTCATAAGCAAGCTTAGACAACTTTCTCCGTACCGTACACGGAACATAACGCGGTGCTAGTTTCTGGGCGAACGCTTTGGATGCGTTGGACAGTACTTTATTCCGTTTCCACACTCGATCACCGACAAAGAATTCAACATCGCGCTTCCGTAAATTGTACGTTCTGCTGTTCCTAACATAAGCCTTATTCAAGCGCTTCATGACCCCCTGAAAAATACTTTGAAGACTCTCCAAGTCCCTAGCGTACTTCTCTCGGTCGTATGCTGTAAGAATATCGGGATTGGTACAGACTTTCCCGTAAAATTCTCCGGTACACGGGACCACGCGTCCGAAATTTAAAAACGCTGGACTGAAACCAGTAATTTCACTAACAGCGGTTCTAATGGCATATCCGATCTTCGCTATCTCGGCATCCCAGTTTTCGTGGTTACCCTTAATATAGCATCGAATCGCCGTCCCTATCACACGGTTGTAGCGCTCCACAGGGTTTGCTTGTGGATGATACTTGGCTGTAAACCAGATTTTTTGGACTTTATACTCCTTACAAACTCTAATAAAATTCTCTCCGATAAACTGCTTACCGTTATCTACCAATATGAATTGTGGTACTCCATATACTAAAAAGACTTCGTTTTCTAAAAAATTCACAATGCTAGGACTATTAGCTTTTCTAAGAGGACACATGACGACGTATTTAGAGAACCAATCCACTATTACGAACAAGTACGTGAATCCTTTCTTCGATCTTGGAAGTGGTCCAATTAAATCGACTGAGATAATTTGCCAAGGAAACTGAACGATCTTTTCTTTCCCCATAATCCCCGGACGACTTACATTTGGAGCTTTCTGAGCGCTGCAAACTTGACAACTCAAAACGTACTTACGCACGTCTCTATTGACTTTCGGCCAATAATAATGGATCTTAAGTCTCGATAGGGTCTTAAAATAGCCTAAATGAGAAGAAGTGGGCTCATCGTGACATAATCGCAATACCTTAACGCGTTGACTTTCTGGAACGAATAATTTTCACTCTGGGACATTGCTTGTCAGATTGATTTTGTTTGGAAAATATTTAAAAATAAATTTACCCTCGACTTTCCATGATAAGTATTTCTGCGGATCGCCAAGAATGGTCTTTCGGATAGTGGCGTACGCTTCTTCAGTATCATCCACGGTCACATCTAAATAGGTATCGGTATCGACAGAACTAATTTCGGCGGGAAGACGCGATAACGCATCCGGAACAACATTCAAACATCCTTTCCGGTGTACTAAGTCAAACGAGAACTGGTTTAGCCTAACGCTCCACCGAGCTAGTTTACCGACGGGGTCCTTCATTTTTTTCAGCCATAACAAGGAATAGTGATCAGTTATCACGGTGAAATGTACTCCTTCAACATAAGGGCGGAATTTTTCTAACGCAAAAACCACGGCAAGACATTCACGTTCGGTCACGCTGTAATTGCGTTCCGTTTTACTCAATGATCGACTGGCGTAAGCTATAACCTTTTCTTGGTCTTCGATGGTTTGGGTAAGCAAACCGCCCAAACCCGTATCTGAAGCATCGGTATGGATCGTAAAAGGTTCAGAGAAATTTGGACTGGCTAAAACAGGAGCTGATACGAGCGCTTCTTTAAGCTTACGGAAAGAGAGGTCAGCGTCTTCATCCCACTCGACTTTTTGACGTTTGCGCTTTCCCTTTAATAAACGATTCAACGGCGCTATCAACGACGAAAAATGCGGCACGAAGCGGCGGTACCAGGAACACATTCCTACAAATCGCTTTATTTCAGTAGACGTTTTCGGCACCGGATAATTGGCCATACTCTCAACCTTTTCGGGATTTGTACGGAGCCCTTGCTGGTCCACTATAAAACCCAAATATTTTAAAGACGGACGAAAAAATTTACACTTGTCTAGGTTAATCGAAAGATTCGCCTTCGACAGACGTCTCGCTACGTCGCGTAGTACGGACAAGTGCTCGTCAAACGTTTTCGACAATATAATTAGGTCATCTAAGTATACGAAAACTTGCGGCTCTAGTTCTGGACCGAATAATTCATCCATTAGCCTTTGCAAAGCTTGAGCTGCATTAGTGAGCCCGAAAGGCATCACCGTAAAATGGAAAAGACCACGCCCTGGTACGGCGAATGCTGTTTTTGGTTTCGACGATTCTTCCAACGGTATTTGCCAAAACGCTTGTTTCAAATCTACCGAACTGATATATTTCGCGTCACCTAGCATGCTCAATATCCTATCTACTAAAGGCAAAGGATAATTATCCCGCACGGTAACCGAATTTAACTTTCGTCCATCAAAACATACTCTAAATTCCCCAGTAGGTTTTTTAACTAAAAGAATCGGAGAGGACCATGAACTATTCGAAGGCTCTATAACCTTAAGCTTCAACATTTTATCAATCTCACGATTCAATTCCGATAACATATACGGAGACCACCAAAACTGTCTCTGCTTGAAGGGAGTCGCGTTTTTGGTGTCAATACGGTGTGGACTAACTGTAGCTCGACTCAGTTGATCGGTGTAATTCAACTTTTTAAATTCCCCTATTACTTCTTTTATTTTCTTTTGACTATCCGCATCAAAATCCGTAGATATTAACTGATCGATATCCGAATTTAACTCTGTTGATGCTTCTACTGCACCTACGTGCGATACTTTTGGCTGCTTTCGACCATTATTTAAACCCGCACTTGAAATTTCATAAGAAAATGTTCGAAAGTCCAACTTTAACGCAAAAAGTCTGCAAAAATCACTCCCCAAAACTATTTTATGTATCAAATCAGGTACTACATAGAAGAAAATTTTATGACGCCTTCCTTGCAACCCAATCTCCAGTTCCACTGCGCTTGCAACACAGTGAGATTTTCCATCTGCGGTGATCACGGCCTTTAGCTTGGAAGGAACCATATTTATATGACATCGCGGTTGTCTAAGTAAATCTAAACCACCACGTCCGATAATACTGCAATTAGAACCAGTATCTAATAACCCCTCGACAAATTTACCATTTAATTGAACCGAAATAAAGGGCCTGTTATCCCCATCCCTTTTCGAAAATGTAGGAGCGACTTCCCCCTTTTTAGGACTAATACTACTCTTATAAAATTGACGCACAAAATTAACCCATTTGTTCGAATCATCCCGAGTCTGAACAAAACTTTTTACTTTAGAATAGGTAGTACCGAAACGATTGCTCCGATCAGCGTTGACCTTGTGAAACTTTGGAAACGACGACCGGCCTAAAAATCGTGTTTCCGTTACTCGTTTCCCGAACGACATTTTGGACAAGATACTACAGTCACGTTCCGCAGACCACATTTGTAACAAAATTTCACGCGCTTGGCCACACAATTGCGGTAGCTATGATTTGGTTGTCGGCAATTCCAACAGATTAATAGGGTCCTCCGCGGATCTTCCTTGCCTTGTTTCACTTCACCCTCACCGAAAGGTTGTACATCTGCCCTCGACGGGACCACAAAATTAGAAATTTTCTCGTTACTAGATTTTTCCTTAAACGTATCCCGAACAGGTTGTGTTTGTACACCAGCCAACTCGGCTTCCAACAAACACGACTGCCGACACGGAACCTTAGATCTCTGTCTCAAACTAAGCATCTGCTCGATTTTCTTACCGATCTTAATTAATTCATCTAACGTTTTTGCCTCCGCGATCTCTAAATGATTCGAATATGCTAAACCCAGATTTCTTTGGATTACTTTGACTTTAGTGATTTCTAACGGAGCACGCGAAAGGCGCGAGAAAAGTGTTTCCATCACTGCTACGTAAATTGATATGGACTCGCCCTTGCCCTGCATTCTATTTTTAATATCATCCCATAAAATATCGTCACAATCACTAGGAAGAAATTCTTGCTTAATCGCGTTCACTAACGAATCCCAATCTACGTATTTATGTCTAACAGCTCGATACCATAATAACGCTTTTCCGCTAAACAAATCAACTGCTGAGTTATACAAATCATCCTTAGTGGCATGTCGGGCCTGACACAACTCGTCAACACGTTCAAGAAATTGATTAACCCCTACACCTTGGGCTTCACCGCTAAACGAAATCCCCCACTTGTAAATTGGTACTAATTTAGTATTGACAACTGGTGGAAGCGAAGGAACTACTGACGGAAAAATAACGGGAGCAACCGGAGAAGACACTTGCGGCGATGCGGTGGTCTCTACCTTATCATACAATTCGGCCTCGAGTAGCGCACACGTTGCATGAGATTCGTTACGGAACTCCACCATTTCTTTAGCGTCGTTTTCGGAAAGATTGTCAGGAATTTTAATTCTAAGAACCCGAAGAGTCGCATGAGCAATTCGCGTTCGCAACCGTTTAAATAAAGCATCTTGAGGAGAACCTTCAAATTCCGGCATCAACTGTTTAATACTATCAATCGTACTATTAATTGATTCTACTTCCTGCTCGTAATCAAACTGCGGGTCTTTATACGCCAAAATTAGTTCTAGTGGTCGACCGATGTCTTTATCAACCGAACGCTGCAACAACCTCCGTTTATCATCACTACCACGCTTGGTTACAATTCCCCTTATACGCAACTCATAATCGAGCTCACCTGCTAGTAAATACCTTGCCTTAAAAGTGTCGTCCATATTAATATCACCAATGTGAAATGGTTACAAGACATCCAAAGCCAAGACATACAAATTCGAGATGTACAAAGTCAGGATAACAAAGTCAGGATGACAAAGTCTGAAATGCAGAGTAATTAGAATTATGTTCGCACGATATCATCAACAAAATGTCTGTCACCACCTATTTCATTACTTGGGCTGCTAATTGCCACACCACCGTACCATACCTCAACAAACTGCTATGACCTTATAGAATTTCACAAGTAACGAAGTCGAACCAAGTCGTAAATACACCTACCACTGTCAATAACGCATCTGGCCCCACGTTGAGCGCCATTTTTTGTATAACCTCTTATCTTCTTTTTACGCCGGTGCTACTTTCGGAGAGCGGGTTCTTCTCGTGGTGTTTGCACTTACCTTGGATTCAACTTCGTTGCTAAACTCTTCCTAACCAAAAATAATAGGGCGCCACTCAGTCGTTATGGTGGAAAGGAGGGTTGGGGGGACTGAGACCACCCAACTTCACCAATGCTCTTTTTATTTAATATAAAATAAATTAAATCGACTAATTAGGTACATTATGAAAAAACTATGACTTGAAATCAAAAAAATGTGGTGGGCAGGAGTTCGGTTGGTTGTAGCGTTTAGCAGTCCTTGAACGCGGTTAATTCACCTCCAGGTTGGCGGTTCGACAGACTTACCAGGATGACAGGATGACACCTCTCCTTGACACTAACTCTTCACCCCTTTTTAGTGAACAACGACACCCCAAAACTTCCGTGTCTTTTTCTCTCGACCTTCTCTCGTCGCCGTCTCAAAACCGAAAGCCACGCTCTTCTCGAACCTTCCATCTCCTACCCCCCTACTCTCTAAATGCGCGCGTTATTTAAATCGTGGTAACATTTTCATGTTACAGTTTGCAACCTATCATTTTGGAGTCCGCGTAAAATATTATCCATAACACGCTGAAAAGTCGCTGGTGCATTTTTTAGTCCGAATGTCATACGTCTAAATTCATAGTGACCATTTTCAGTCGTAAATGCTGTTTTAGGAATGTCGTTCGGGTTCATTTCAATTTGATGAAACCCACTAGCTAGATCTAGCGTCGTAAAATATTGACTCTTCCCTAACTTATCCAAAATATCGCAAACATTCGGAAGAGGATACTTATCGTTAACAGTTTTTTCATTTAATTTGCGATAGTCAACAACCATACGCCATTTTTGAACACCGGAGAGGCGTCTAAACGTTTTGAAACTATCCAAATAGGGCTAGACCAAGGCGAGGTAGAATTTTGTATGATACCCTGTTTCAACATTTTTGAAATTTGATCACGGACCTCTGTTTTATGCACTTCCGGATATCTATAACTTTTAGTATATATGGGAGTGTTATTTGTCAGTTTAATTTCATGTTGGACTTTGTTAGTAAATGTTAGTGGAATTTTATCACAATAAAATATATCCCTAAATTCGTAACATAATTTACGAATGGCATTTTTCTCCTCACGATTACAATGATCAAGTTGCAGATTTTTTAAATTATTCTTTTGAAAGTGATCGTCCTCAGCGTCTGGCACTTCGTCAGTCTCCATTAGTTCACAAAAATTTACATCCCTAAATCCAAAGGTTCTATATCAAAAGGTTCGTGAATTTTAATTTTGACAGAACGTAGAATTGGAAAATATCGTTAAAGCAAAATGATTATTAACATTAACTAAAGCTTGAGGTGTTTCTAATTGATTACCGAAATTTTTGTATTTTAAAATTCCTACACCCTCTTTCATTTTCACTGGAATTCTTACAACTTGCTGACATCGAGGTGGTATAACTATCGAATGACAATCGATATTTTTGGAAACGGTTTTAAGTGAAGATTGGGCTTTTTCATAAATAATCGGGATTTTGGTCGAAGGTATTATTATTTCATGTTGATTAAAATCTGTACTAGCATTTGACTTCACCAAAAGATCAGCGCCTATTAATCCATTGAATTTGGGCGAAAAATTAAACAGATAAAATTTATGCAAATTATTCGTTTTAAAAATATTAAAAAGAGGTATTACAGCTGTTTGGGAGTGATTAAAAATTCCATGAGGGGTTTGTACATTGAAATTTTCATTTTGAATATGTGGTTGATAATAATGATATGCTAAATTTGGATTTAAAAAACTTTTTGAGCCACCAGTGTCTATTAAAAAATAAGAATTTAATTCGGGGATAGAGATATATGGAAGATTTTGACCGGTGTGATTGAACGTTATCATTTCGGGTACATTTCTGGAAAATTCTGGTAAAAATTTTGAGAATTCGAGTCAGCATTTTGTGTCGAATAAGTTTCATGATTGTGATAAGGATCTTCCTCAAACGCTTGGTAAGCTGAACCCAGGTCGTTGTATTGAGTTGAAGAACTTGATGCTTGGTTTCCGAATTCGTTACCGTAACACGTGTAGTACATGCTATTATCATCAAAACACTTGTTTTCTGCCGCATTCTCAGATAATAGTTCAGGGCCGGACTCAAATGGATTTTCAAATTCAATATTTTCGGTTCACTGAACGTTACCTACTTCTTGAGTGTACAGTTCTTCAAAAGTAAATTTAGGCTTTATTTTTATGGTTGAGGTTCTGGAAGTTGTATCCATTGGTTCGGGTTTTGATAACTTATTATTTCGCGTCATCGAACTCATCCGATTATTACCAAAAGGTTGTTGTTGCACAGGTCTAGGAGGAAAGAAATGTTGTTTTTGCGATCAAAATTTTTAAATGGCCGTGGTTAAAATGGCATGTTTGGCCTAAATTGATTTGTTCGATTTGGAATAAAATTTGGTCTTAACGGAAATGTTGGTTGCGAACTGAGGGATATGCGGAATTTCGAAACGCTATTTGGGGTCGATTAAAACTTGTATAAGTTGGATGAGCAAAATTTGGTGGAGATGATTTAAGATGTTGATTTTGATTTTGATAGTTTTGACTGCTTCGAGGTTGTGGTTTATAATTCTGTTGTTTTAAATTTTGATTACTTCCGGTATTAAAGTAAATAAAATTTTATTCTTCAACGACAAATGCTAGAGCTTGTTCTAATGAATTGGGATTTTTCAAACGCACTGGAAGTTGCATGAAATATGTCAACCCATTGATAAAAGTTTTTAAGGCAAATTCTTCATAATGATTGATTTTGATCTGTTTTTCTTGCGCATTTATATTGGAAGCATTCAATTTAGCAAATAACAAACTACGCGCGTCTTGTATTCTCATACCAAATTGCATTGGAAACGTTTTAAGTTAATCAGGTCCTGGATAAGACAGTCAATACTTCTCTGATCCGAAAAAGTTGAAGTCAAAGCATCTTTAATTTGTTGCCAACTGGTTAGTTCTGTACGGGAGCCTGTAAGTTCGCCTGCACGGTCTCTCAATTTTGAAAGTATCGTATCAAAAATTGACAAATTTATAGGATTATTCGGATTTTGAACATTTTGGAAGGCACGAATAAAATTCTCACATGCAGTTACAAATCTATTTAAAACTTTAGGATTACCGTCGAAAGACGGAATATTATCTGAGTAATACCGAAGTAGACCAACATTTAGTGGTGGCTGATCTGGCATATTGTCTAATTAATCAAATCGTCTAGATCTAAGTCAGAGTTTTGCATATATTATGTTTCAACGAATTGCTCGCGAAATTACAATTATTATTATTAAAGAAAATTATGATTAAAATGAAAGGAATGAGCACTCACAGTAACGAAGAAAAAAGGGTGATTTTCTTCATCTGCACTGCCTCTAGGAACCAGCGATGTCGTCCAGAATCCCAGGTCTTCGGTGATACGATCTCCCAATTTTCTAGGATTCCACTTTTTTGTTCAAATTGCCGGATTAATCGTAAAAAAGAAAATTATCAATGCCCGATGCAAGATAATTTCCAGCAATCCTACCGACTGCGCCACTTAAATTCGGGGGTCCACAAATTAGGTTTTTAAAAAACTAAAAAGCTTTATTACGACCGTTACACAAGTCCGAGTAAGAGTGTCCTACAATGTAGAAAATACATATTTATATTGTTAAGAAATACTGAGTCCGTCCGCCGTCTCGTCCTTGCATATAGGCCGGATGACCTAACTTACGAATTTCCCGACAAAATTGCATTAAAATGGAGGCTAGGTATATTATATATATAAAAAAAACTACTATTAATTATTACATTTTTACACTTATCGTTTATATAATATATACATTAAAAATTAAGGGAACTTCCAATTAAATACTTTCGGTTAACTCATAATATGTCCGTGGAATCATACGAAGACGAATCCCCAGTCCAGACATTTCAGGTTCCAGATTCTAAAAATGAAAGAACAAAATAAATTTTTTCATTTGATTGACAAAAGACTTACCAATGATGACGTCAACACTAACGGAATATTTCATTCTAACGCTGTTCATGCAAAAACAAAGCCTCAATAATACGTTGTTGGTTGTTCATGCGGGCTATATCTAGAGCTGTCTGATGATCTCCAGTTATTGCATTAATATTAGCCCCAGAGTTAAGAAGCATGGTCAAAATTTCTACATATCCTTTACAACAAGCCCAATGAATTGCACTCCATCCATAGCAATCGACCCCTTCAGTACTAACCCCCATGTTGAGCAACCGTTTGACACCCGCTACGTAATTTTTTTTGCAAAATACGTGAAGTGGTGTGGTAGTCGGAGTGTTTTTCAAAAAGGTGGCAGCACCTCTATCTTCCAAAAAATTCACAATTTCGTTATGTCCGTTGTGGTAAGCCGAACCAAAAGGTGTTAAACCGTTGAAATTTTTGGCTTCGACATCTGCTTCTTTGTCAACAAGTAATTCCACGATATTGAGATAACCCCAACAACAGGCTTCGATTAGCGGTGACGTGCCAAATTTGTTACAAATGTTGACATCGGCGTTAGATTCAATTAATAGTTGGGTTGTTTTGAAGTCTCCACTTTGAGCAGTGAAATACAGAGCAGTTTGTTTTTTGTTGTCACAAGCATCTTTGTCAGCGCCCCACTGAATCAACGTCTCTACACAACGGTGATTTCCTCGCCGACAAGCTAGGTGAAGAGGAGTTTGACCACTTGTGTCTTCACAGTCGACGTCACTTCCATTTGAAATAAGTAACTTAATAATGCTCACGTGACCATTCCGAGCAGCCAGGTGAAGAGGAGTTTGCCAAATTTTATCAACACTGTCAATTTTGGCACCAAATGTGATAAGTTGGGAAGCGACGTCAGAAAAATTTTCAGCTGATGCTAAATGAAGGGGGGTTTCACCGTTTATATTGCAACGATTTGCGTTAGCTCCCTGATTCAGAAGTGACTTGACAGTTTCATCGTGTCCATTCAGAGCTGCAAAGTGGAGAGGTGTCCAGTCATCTTTATCAAAAACGTTATGCGTCGCTCCACACTTCAATAAAATTTCGACGAGTTCAGTCATTCCAAACCGGCACGATATATGAAGAGGTGTTTGATTTTGCTTATCTGTCTTGTTGCAATCAGCTCCTGAATGAATGAGGAGTTCGACGATGTGCTGGTGTTGGTTAAAAATTGCAGAAAAAATGGGCGTTCTTCCATATTGATCTTCACAGTTGACGTCGGTTCCCAAATTTATTAGTAACTCGACAATTTCGTAAGCTCCTCTGCTACAACTAATAAACAAGGGGTTTTCGGAGTTATTGACAACGGGTTGTGCGCCGGCTTCTAAAAGAACTTCGACTACCTTAACTTTTCCACGAGAACAAGCCAGATATAAAGGTGTTGCGTTATCGTCATTAAGTTCGTCGATCCTTTCTTTATAAATATTCGTTGATAGTAGTTGTTTCACACATTCATCTTGACCGTGTGTCGAAGCTAGGTGCAGCAACGACTGTCCCTCTTTATTTCTAACATAAATCATACCCTCTTTCAATAAATATATTACACCGTCGTGTCCCAACAACACAGAATAGTACAGCAAACTGGCATGAAACTTATAATCTTCAGACCTTAAGGTCAGCGTGTGTTGTGTTTTCCCTATCATCGCAATGGCATATATGCAGCTACATCTTTCAGCGTAATCCAAACACGTTAACTCAAACAAATCGTTTCGTTCCTCAATAATACCTTCATCCAAAATATTAACTATGTACTCCAACATTAGTTTGTACTCCGGACTTTCGTTGTCAATGCAAGGAACGTTTTCGTCATCTATGACATAACCGCCATTTTCTTTTTCCACATTTAAAATCGGAAATCTTCCTCCCCACGAACTCGCTATTTGCAAAATATTTCGTCCCCCCGAATCTTTACTGTTGATGTCACAGTCCTCCAGGTCTTCTAGATTTGCATTTAAGGTTGCCAGATGTGCAGGGCTGTTTTTTGCTAGCAGCATGTCGAAGAAAAAGCGAACATTTAAATATTTTTCCTCAAATATAATATCTTTCAGAAAGTCTTTAAAACGATCGATTTGGCTTGAAAAATACATGGCAGCAAAATATTCAGCAAATGTGTGGTGTATGAACAGTATTTGCTGAGGGTCTTCGGGTATTTCGCTTATAAAACCAAATCGGTCTCCTTCCGTGGCAAGGTCTTTAAAAAATTTGTCGTTATTAATATACATACGCAGAAGTTTTTTCCCAAACAGAGTTTCTGCGGCTGCTTCACCATAATTTCTGATTCTTGATTCTTTTGCCATCTTGTTAATATTTTCGTCCCTGCTGCTAGTAGCTTTTTCATTGAATCGTTCACTAAACGTTTCGTTTATAAATAGTTCATAGAGATCCGTTATACACAGAGATTTGCTAAATAAAGAAGCAATATTGTCTTTATTTCGAAGCAACAGTTCACTAAATATGTAAAGATAAAGTGCATTTCCCAAAATATCACTCATTTTAACAAATCGTATGTTGGTTTGAATTCCTTTTGTTATTTCTTGCAGTTCATTGCTAGAACATACTTTTTCAAGTCGCTTTGTTACGTATTCGATTTCTTCCTGTTGACTAAAGGTGTCTATTTTTCTTGAAAGTGTCTTTAGTTTCGTTTCAATTTTTTTTTTCAAGTGGCTTCTACAGGTTATCCATTGCTCAAAATTCTCTTTCGTAAAATCTTTGATAATTTGTAGAATGTGTTCCAGATGCTCGTTCGATATTTCATCTAAAGCATCCCAAAGAAGAACTACTTGACCCTTCATAAAAGCAGCATTTACAAAATTCCTGTGAAAAGTTTTTAGACTGTATTTTGCTTCCAGTATAAAATTAATAAATGATTCGACATTTTTATTTATACTCGAATCTTTACAATACTCGGACATATCTTTACGTGTTATTATTAACCTCCAAAGGTTGTTAGTAAAATTCTTTTGAAAACTCCTCAGTAGTTCTGACTTGCCCATCCCCGGATCTGCGACGATTATGTTAATGTTATTAACAGATTCCACTGTATAAAATTCTGATTCGTCTGAAAAGTCCTGGCTTTCCAAGAGGAAATTCTGTATGTCGGTTACATTATTTTTGCTTTCGATCCACTCCAAATATTCATTGTTCATTCTAAGGTGATGACAACTTTTTGCGTCTGGATTTTTTTTACATATTTCGTTAAACTGGTGCATAGAACATTCCTTTTCATTAATAAAGACATTAATTTTTTCAGATTCGTTTCCATAGGAGTAAACATCTTCGGCGATCCTAAATCTTGTCTTTTTTATTCTGAAAATATTTGGCATCTTTTCTTTAACTATTTGTTTTTGGTTCGGATCTTTCAAGTAGTTTTCGGCAAAAACGTAACGAATCTTGCTGCTTCCAAGGTACTTTTTAATGTTCTTTACACACGCATTACTAATTACGACCAAAGTGTTTTTATCAATTGAATCAAGAAATTTGCAGTCTATGTAAATTTTCGACAATCGCCTATTAATATAAGGCTCAGCTAATGCCTGAGACTGTTCCTCGATTCTGTAAGAACCATTTACCATCTGTAACAATTCATTTGTGGTTACAATATTTTCAATCTCTTCGTTTTGTTGAATTAAGTGTTCCAAAGAATGTTCTCTAGACTGAAGACAACACTTTAAATTCGTCGTTAACTTTTCATTACGTTTTAGATCAGATAAATGTCTAAATATTGCAAAACCTGGGAGTAAGAATGGAGTTTTCTCAAGAACAATAAATTTTTTTCCTGGACATAATTTTATCGCTTCGGCTGCAAACTCGTTCTGGACCATAATTAAGGGGCATTGGTCACCCAGCCAAAACGTCACACTACGTGCAGTTTCATCGTTTTTCAGCTGAAATTTCTTTCGGGTCTTCAGTACTTCCTTTTTGGTTGCATCGTCTTCTTCTAGATCACCCCAAAGCTTCACTACTTCGTCCACAAAACAATCGTCAAAAACTGTTATGTCAAAACTGTTGATAGCTTCTTGCAAAAGCTTTGTTTTGTCGTTTGACGAATCTTTAACATATGGACGAATATGTGACTCCAGTAAATTTAGTGCTGTAAAAGTTTGCATTGTACTTTTGTTCAGTTTTTCCTTTGTGCCGGTTCCTTTACTCCACTCGGTAATATATTCCAGGAATTTTTTTGCATATGTGTCTTTACAATTAAATTTCTGGCAAAAGCGTTCCACTGTTTTCTTTTTTGCTCTTTCCACATTATCCTGATTCGTAAAAAGGAAAAATTTGTCGAAGAAAGATCGGTAACTGTCGAGCTCATCATTGGCAGGAAAGCTTCCATTATCCACAATTTTAAATTTGTAACAATTGGTTTCTTCTGGGTAGTCGAATATTAATTTCATGTCGTCTTTTTCATATTTTTCAATGTCCAGTTGAAGATTCAAACTATCAATGATAAGTAGTTCAGAACACGACCAATCTAATTTTAGGTTTGTCCATAAAATAAGCTTGTAGTCACCAAAATTTTGTTCCTTTTCTCTAAATGAGTCTAAATATTTCTTTATGCTGAAATCTCCTTTAGAGTCTGTTAAACGCTTTGGTATTAAAGTGCTTTTTTTTTCTGAATGCTTTAGCTGGACGGCATATTTCATTACGTCTTGATTCATCAATTTTGTTTCAATAATGACGTCGTCAAATTTACCGAAATTGTCATCATTGGAAGCGATTTGAAAATTTTCTACATCTTCATTTTGTATAAGATTTAGTGCAAGAGAAGCGGTGACGTAGTCTTCATACTCCTTTCCCCTATCTGTGGTGCCGGAGCGCTTATGAAAAGTCTGAAATAATAAGTTTTGATAACACTTATGTGCAGCGGTGTAACAATAGGATATATGAAATTATTAATGCACTTTTGTGTGATAAGATTAAATAATCTTTACACTAAAAGAAATTATTTTGTTCCATAAAAGGCTTGTTAACTTAAGTATTCGCTCGATTCATTATACAGGATGTCCCACCGATGCTTATTGTTTTCAAATATAGAGGATGTTTCTGAAAAAAGTTACACCATAGTTGAATGTTTCTAAACGTAACACCCAACATCAGAGCTGTTCAGTACTTCAAGTAAAAGTACTTGAAGTAATACTTCAAGTACTTTAAGTACTTCAAGTACTTTACTTGAAGTACTTTTATATTTAGGTACTTGGTACTTGGTACTTGAAGTATTTCTAAAATGTACTTGAGTTTAGTACTTGATTTTGCCAAGTACTTTAATCCAAGTACTTCACTCAGTATTTTAAATACTCTTGAATTACTTGAAGTATGAAAGTGGAATTTCAAATACTTTAGTCTCTATTTTACGAAGTTTTCACATCTCAAAATAGGGTCTGTTAAATACTTGAAGTTATTAATTCAATTATTTGATTAGATGTATTTTTATAGTAAAATCGTGTTTGTTTCCTGTGAGGTTATATTTTGATCTGTGTAGACAGCGGATTTCTGTCGGGCTACGTCACGATTTTAGTGGGGACGCGCTGCATCGCCGGGACTCAGTAGCGGGTGATAGGTAATCACTGAATTTAATTGCCACTTGATTCCATAAATACAATTAACGATTTATTAATCAAACGGCTAACTAAATGAGAACTGGAATTAACAGCAGAGTGCAACGAAGCAGCGTTATTCTAATCTCAAATAAACGAAGTGCAGCCGGTAAATGCAATGAATTCCCATCCCGTACGAGCCGTACCGAGTTTGGCCTTGTCTAGCCCGACAGAAATCCGCTCTCTAGTGATTGTGGATATCTTATCCACAATATGACGTACATTTCATAGGTACTTGCATAATGCCGATAGATCGGTAGGTAAGAAAATTAATGTCATAAATATGTCATTTGAAAGTGGATGACGACAGCAGAAGGGTCGGAGATCTGTGTAAAATTTTCAGCGATGTAAAGTTGTGAATCTATGAATTTTGTCTTTTTTGTATTTTGGTCTGGAACTTAACTTTGCGGGTAGTTTTTCAGTACCTTCCCGGTATCCCAAAGGGAATCGGGTTTGGATTTGAAAATATTTGAGAAATGATTCAATACTCGTTCGAAAAGATATTTATTCTTTCATTAGTTTCTTAACCCCGCCGTGTATTTGTCAGTAAGAAGTCTGGTCATTGCGGAGAACTCGGCAGGGGATTATCCCTTTTATTATAATAGCAATAGCTGATGGCAGGTACAGAGTTTCATATTCGCCTCTTCCTCGTAGAATTTAAACACAATTTTATGTTAAATAAGTATTTTGCAGTTTAATTTTCTTTATCATGTTAGACACTCGTTTTTTACCAAATTTTCTTTTTTTGTTTATACATGTTTCAGCCATATAAACTTAGTTTGTTATTACTAACTACTTATATTTTCTCACATTACAGTTTCAAATAATCTGTTAAATTGTATGAATTATTTGAACACCAACAATTTAAAAAGACGTAATACAGAAAAACAATGATTTTAAAAGTCACACTAATTAGTGTCATTTATCTTTCCTGTGCGGATTTTATTTATTACCGTACAACAACTTTACGTATTAGATTGCATCGCTTATTACATAAACCCAATATTGTTCAAAATGAAATATGTTTTGTGCAACTCGGCTCGTAGTACCAATGTTTTTGTACTCCAGTTGATACAACCATGTATGGTTTTGATGAGTACCGAATTGTACTTTGATATTGCTCGAAGGACCTTTGTTTTGTTGTGTACGAAATAATAGACAGCGTTCGGTTTCGATGTTTAAATACAGCAGGACGGTTACAGAAGTACTGAATTTACATTTGTATTTACAATATCAGGTAAAGAGACCCAAAAGGGTCAGTGGCCGCTTCCGGAAATGGAACAAAATACATATTCACATTATAAAAAAATACATACATTAATGAAACTCGCGATTAGTTAGTATAATTGCCTAGATAAATACACCCCTACGAAATATTTTAACAATAATAAATTTAGTACATATTTACCTGAATTTTCGCAAAAGCCGTTGTTAGGCATTCCCTGAAGTCATTGTAGTATTCAGTTACTAATGTCATCTTCTTTGGGTTTTCAGGTAAAAATAAAAAATACGCCAATCGAAAATGTAAAGGAAAATTCTGAAAGTATTGTGGCATTAGAGGAACAAAATTTTGTATAAATGGACGGAACAGCATTACGAACCTATTATTTGTGATTTGTCAGTGTAAAGTTACATACTTAGTGTTTACTATTTAGTCACTGTAGTATTTAGGTTAATTTAATAATTTTCAGAATAGTAAATACGTAAGTGGTAGACAGATATATTCAGGAATATGGGGCATTCATTCCAAGAAAATTCTCAGCATTTTTGGTAACCGCAAAAGTAAAAAACGACTAATTACTTTGATCACCTTGATATATGAGTTATAGTTTTCGCTGAAAATGGACTCTCGTTTTAGGCATTTTATTTTTTATTTAAAAAATTCATACGTTTTTTTTGAAAATGCAACATAGTGTCTTAAACATTTTTATGTCACGAGCATGTATATGTATCGCAGTGCTCTTAAAATTTGTTTCTGAAAAATTTCAGTTTCACAAATCCGGCCCTGTGCACTTTCACAATGGGTAATGATTAAGGGTGCTGTAAACTACCCACAAACTTAAACACGGAACCGGTTCATAAAATTCATATATTTTTAACACAACTTTATTAAAAAATCAGAACGTTTTGGTGGTGAACCAAAATTCAAAATATTAAAAAAAGGCAACAGAAGCCTGAGAAAATACCATACAGCGCCGATGTTTTTGTTATAAATTAATAGTAGACATACATAGACAACGCCGTCATGTATTTTATTTTAAATTTTAAATTAGAAATAGACGTTAATTTTGTCGAAGGCATTGTGTCGACAGAAAGATGTAAATGTATTTCAGAAGAATATTGTTTATAAATAACATAGTATTATTAATAAGTGAGCTACCATTCTGCATTTAAGTTGATGCTTATGCAATTTTTTATGTGGCGAAATATGTAGGTATTATTGTATACTTAAATTCTGAGTATTAAAAAATTCAGTTCTAAAATATATTAAGCTTTTTTAAAAAAACAGGAAAAGTTATCTAGTTCTACAGTATTTCAAATAATTAGAAAGTATTTGAAGCATTTTCAGTACTTCAAGTATTTGTAAGTACTTGAAGTATACCTCCAGTACTTCAAGTACTCGTAAGTACTTGAAGTAATGCACTTGGCTTGTACTTCAAGTACATCTGAAAAGTACTTGATACTTGAAATACTCTTGCTGAAAGTAAGTACTTGGTACTTTACTTGAACACTATTTCAAGTAGTACTTTGTACTTGGTACTTCAAGTACTTTTTTTGAGTACTTTGAACAGCTCTGCCCAACATATTTTTACAGTTGAGGTTCCCTACTGAACAAGGAGAAACATTACATTAACGCAAATATTTTCAAAATATTTGGATATCTGCGCAAAAAAGAGGTTTCAAATTTTAAAATTTTCAACTCGGCCGTATTTAAAAATGGTGATTTGGGATTTTGCACAAAACTTTTTTGTGCCTTGATATATTTAAAAACTGCAGGAACATTTTAACCTATTCTCAGAGAGTAGGTACAGATATTTGCATTTAGTCTGTTATCGCTGTTTGTCAAAAAGAACACCGTGAATTTTATAAGTTTTCTGATTCTTTCTAAACAAGCTTTCATTTGATACCACATTTATTGTGTTCATTTTTTACGGATTTTTTTTTGGAATTACAAACCTGTAGTCAAAAGAAAATTTACTTAGAGCGTTCAATCAAATTTTAATAAAATAGTTTGTTTTCTAAAAGCTGACCTCTAGGAGTATCAAGTTTTATTTGTTATTGGAATTCGTAAACAGATGGAGACTTGTCACCTGTACATCTTAAGACAATATAACGTTTCACTAACAATAAATTATCACAATACACCAGTGATTGCAGTGATAAAAATTTACTGCCAATAACGAAGGAATACTCACCGTCGCCTCCATCGTCCAGTTCCATAGAAAACAGGTTAATACAACTGTAAACACTTTTTAGATATTTTTTAGGAAAATCGTCGACTGTAACTTAACTAGGCACGAGAATTTTAAAAACAATTATAAGAATGTGATAAGTCCATATCATAAAACAATAATTTAACTTGCAATAAATTACTTAGAGTTATCAGATAAACTTAGATATTAAGACGTCAAATCTTTATCTCAAAAATTAATATATTTTACATTATATGACTAAAGAGTCGAACTATTTTGACAGTTTTACGAGTTGATAAGAATTTTGTTCTACTTTTATTAAAATTCGTTTCGAAATTTCTGTTAATTATATCAGGTGACAAATTCTCTTTAGGAAAATATTGATAATATATTTAATCTATGTAAAAGTTTCTGTTGATCGATAATATAATATATAGACTTCAAGATTAAAATTTAGAACAGGTTTCACAATTATGTTTGCGGTATGCGATAATGAAAATTAATTTTAATAAATTATAAATTACTTAATGGAAACGAATTATTCGAAAATGTGATAAAATGTAATCTTTAGAATAATTCAAAATACTCTAATGAAGATCACATAATTTCTTTAAATCTCAGCAATAGCAACAACGGGTGTTTAACCGAAACAGACGTTATTTTTCCCGAGCGTCAGCTAAGGAAGTATTTTAATCGAGTCTATCGGGCGACTGGCTACTTTCATACTTTTTCGATGTCATGACCTTACAGTACAAAAACATGGGTCTCCCGATTTCGTCTGTCTGTCCGCCGTCTGTATCGATTTTTGGCAGATAATCTCTGAAATTACTAAACCGATTGTTTTCCATTGTGGCTCCAACTGCATATGCTGTGCCTATCTTGTTGAAAATACCCGAGCGTCAATTTATCACCATGAAGTGAATTTATAAAAGTTATCAAACTGTCGAAACACATAAAATTTATGATTGGATAGATAAACTAACTACCTGAAAAAAGTGGCCTTGTTATGCGTCGTCGACTAAAAATACCGTTGTTTCCACAATTTTATCCATACCATTTAAGGTAAGGATGTGCACTTGCAGCTACGCTGTCATGGATGACTTGATTACAATCAGTATTAATCACCTCATCCAATGAGTTGCGCGGAGGGCCGCAATTCCTAAGATCCGGAAGTTCGATACATGAGCTGTACTTATTTGCATTAATAAATATTTCTTGTATAAGCCCTACAACATTAAATTAAATTTGTTTCTTATTTTGTACAAAATACTTCTACATAATATTATTGCGCAAAAAAATCGACTGTATTTTCTCGACTGCTAATAGTGACTACCTATTGTATTATAACATGACACATAAGCTAATAAAAATAAACAGTTTTATTGCCGATTTACTGTGTTTAATTTGTTTTATTAGACGAACGAGTTTTTTCGGGGTACCTAATTTTGGGGAAAACCTCTGCTTATCCATAGTTCAGTCACTGAATAAAAATTCCTGCAAAATCAATAACTTTATCCCGATATGTTATCATTGTTATTATTAGACTTTCAGAGTTTGAAAAATCTAACAAACGTAGGTTTTATAGTAAACATTTCGGGATTATTTTCTTATTCAGATTATTCCCATCAGCAATAAAAAAATAGCCTATTAATAATAAAATTTTCGAATGACGTCACCAACTATTTACTAGGGATAAATAAAACAACAGAATTTGGAAAAAATATCTACACCTTTTTTTAATTAATAAAATAACCAATAAAGTTAATTGGTCTATTCATAAAAAATTGTGGACGCGTTTCAGTTCAGTTGAGTTTTTTTTGTTTTAGGTGATGTTGACCTAAAAAAAAACAATTGCAAGATAGATTACATATTAAACCACTAATAAACAAACATGTCTCACATTATAAATTTCAAACAAGATTCTCTGCATAAAATTTTGGGACGATCATCAAGTTTCTAAAAGGGGTGAATAGAACAAAGCAAACATTTTATTTTTGTGTAAAATATGCTATTTTTACAAAACCCCAATCTTAATTTGAAATGGTATACTTAAAATTTGTGGTTCATAAACACCCACAGTAAAAATACTGTATCCACCATTATAATGTAAAATTCCAGGCCATGAATTCATTTCAGGTTGCAACACTTCATCGAACTTATAAATGTCCTCTTTGATTAATAGATTTTTTTCTTCGGCTTCTTTATTATCTACTTGAGCGTTCACGTTATCCTTGAGAAAATCAGTTTTGGAAGATGTACTGATTTCGTTACTAGATTTATCACGATCGGTGTTAAACATTTTTTCTGGTCTAATTTTGCTTGAAACGAGTTCTGTAGATTTACCCATAAATTTTGCAGGAGAAAATACTGCATTTTCGTGGTTCTTGGAAATTCTAGGAGCAGCCTGGACGTGCGTATTCTGCAAGTAATAAGTTTTGCGTTTAAGTGATCGGTATTTTTTTAATCGCTTACCCCTAATAAGAGTGCAGAAACGGAAACTCCAAAAAATATAAACCACAACATTGTTTCTATTTAAACATGCGCCTTACTAGGAACCTACAAATAAAGACAAAATTTTAGTAAGAGTTAAATAAAAATAAAAGTACACAAATATTAAAAATTCTTCACCGAGCAAATAAAACAATGTAAAACAGCACACTTTCATATCCGCTATGACCGTAAACGTTGTCAAGGTGAAAATACCGTAACATCCCTGTTAAAAATGCCCAATCAAATCCAATCTAAATTATTTTGGGATCGCCCAATATAAATTAAATTGGGTACGCCCAATCAAATCCAATCTGCGAGTAGTCCGCACGCCAATCGCACAAAGAAGGTAACAAAAGGCCACCACAATGGTCACGTGGTACGCAAGCAAACATATTATCACTATTATAGCGAACAATAAAACTTTTTTAAAAAACAACCCTTTTACGCGGGTTTAAGTGTTAATATTATCCGAGAGGAGTATATTTTTGGGAAAAAATTCTTTGTTCGACACGATAAGATTTATGACGATAAGCGTAATCAAAAAAATTGCATAAATATTTTCCTGCGTATTAGCAACCCCCATAAGGAGGTCGACGAAGAACGTAACCACCCACTTCGATGAGAAGTCGTAAAGAAACACATTACGCAACCATTATGCATCCTACGGCAACGATACGGACCGTAGGTGCCTCAATATTACGTTTAAACGACAGTCACAGTGTCGCCCAATCTGGCCCAATCAAATACAATCCCAAATTGGGGGCGCCCAATCTCGCCCAATCTGCGAATAATTCGCACGCCAATCGCACAAAGCAGGTAAAAAATGACCACCACAATGGTCACGTGGTACGCAAGCAAACATATTATCACTATTATAGCGAACAATAAACCTTTTTTAAAAGACAACCCTTTTACGCGGGTGTAAGTGTTAATACTGACCAGAGTATATTTTTGGGAAAAAATTCTGTGTTCGACACGATAACGTTTACAGCGATAAGCATACCAAAAAAAATGCATACATATTGTCTGCGTATTAGCAACCCCCATAAGGGGGTCGACGGAGAACGTAACCACCCACTTCGATGAGAAGTCGTAAAGAAACACATTACGCAACCATTTTGCATCCTACGGCAACGATACGGACCGTAGGTGCCTCAATATTACGTTTAAACGACGGTCACAGTGTCGCCCAATCTGGCCCAATCAAATCCAATCCCAAATTGGGGGCGCCCAATCAAATCCAATCTGCGAATAATTCGCACGCCAATCGCACAAAGAAGATAAAAAATGACCACCACAATGGTCACGTGGTGCGCAAGCAAACATATTATCACTATTATAGCGAACAATAAACCTTTTTTAAAAAACAACCCTTTTACGCGGGTTTAAGTGTTAATATTATCCGAGAGAAGTATATTTTTGGGAAAAAATTCTGTGTTCGACACGATAACGTTTACAGCGATAAGCATACCAAAAAAAAAATGCATACATATTGTCTGCGTATTAGCAACCCCCATAAGGGGGTCGACGGAGAACGTAACCACCCACTTCGATGAGAAGACGTAAAGAAACACATTACGCAACCATTTTGCATCCTACGGCAACGATACGGACCGTAGGTGCCTCAATTTCACGTTTAAACGACGGTCACAGTGTCGCCCAATCTGGCCCAATCAAATCCAATCCCAAATTGGGGGCGCCCAATCAAATCCAATCTGCGAATAATTCGCACGCCAATCGCACAAAGAAGATAAAAAATGACCACCACAATGGTCACGTGGTGCGCAAGCAAACATATTATCACTATTATAGCGAACAATAAAACTTTTTTAAAAAACAACCCTTTTACGCGGGTTTAAGTGTTAATATTATCCGAGAGAAGTATATTTTTGGGAAAAAATTCTGTGTTCGACACGATAACGTTTACAGCGATAAGCATACCAAAAAAAAATTGCATAATATTTTCTACAAATTACCAACCCCAATAAGGGGGTCAACGGAGAACGTAACCACCCACTTCGATGAGAAGACGTAAAGAAACACATTACGCAACCATTTTGCATCCTACGGCAACGATACGGACCGCACGTGCCTCAATATTACGTTTAAACGACGTTCACAGTGTCGCCCAATCTCGCCCAATCTGCGAATAATTCGCACGCCAATCGCACAAAGCAGGTAAAAAATGACCTCCACAATGGTCACGTGGTACGCGAGCAAACATATTATCACTATTATAGCGAACAATAAAACTTTTTTAAAAAACAACCCTTTTACGCGGGTTTAAGTGTTAATATTATCCGAGAGAAGTATATTTTTGGGAAAAAATTCTGTGTTCGACACGATAACGTTTACAGCGATAAGCATACCAAAAAAAAATTGCATAATATTTTCTACAAATTACCAACCCCAATAAGGGGGTCAACGGAGAACGTAACCACCCACTTCGATGAGAAGACGTAAAGAAACACATTACGCAACCATTTTGCATCCTACGGCAACGATACGGACCGTAGGTGCCTCAATTTCACGTTTAAACGACGGTCACAGTGTCGCCCAATCTGGCCCAATCAAATCCAATCCCAAATTGGGGGCGCCCAATCAAATCCAATCTGCGAATAATTCGCACGCCAATCGCACAAAGAAGGTAAAAAATGACCACCACAATGGTCACGTGGTACGCAAGCAAACATATTATCACCATTATAGCGAACAATAAAACTTTTTTAAAAAACAACCCTTTTACGCGGGTTTAAGTGTTAATATTATCCGACAGGAGTATATTTTTGGGAAAAAATTCTGTGTTCGACACGATAGGATTTATGACGATAAGCATACTCAAAAAAAAATGTATAAATATTTTCCTGCGTATTAGCAACCCCCATAAGGAGGTCGACGGAGAACGTAACCACCCACTTCGATGAGAAGTCGTAAAGAAACACATTACGCAACCATTTTGCATCCTACGGCAACGATACGGACCGTAGGTGCCTCAATATTACGTTTAAACGACGGTCACAGTGTCGCCCAATCTGGCCCAATCAAATCCAATCCCAAATTGGGGGCTCCCAATCAAATCCAATCTGCGAATAATTCGCACGCCAATCGCACAAAGAAGATAAAAAATGACCACCACAATGGTCACGTGGTGCGCAAGCAAACATATTATCACTATTATAGCGAACAATAAACCTTTTTTAAAAAACAACCCTTTTACGCGGGTTTAAGTGTTAATATTATCCGAGAGAAGTATATTTTTGGGAAAAAATTCTGTGTTCGACACGATAACGTTTACAGCGATAAGCATACCAAAAAAAAAATTGCATAATATTTTCTACAAATTACCAACCCCAATAAGGGGGTCAACGGAGAACGTAACCACCCACTTCGATGAGAAGACGTAAAGAAACACATTACGCAACCATTTTGCATCCTACGGCAACGATACGGACCGTAGGTGCCTCAATTTCACGTTTAAACGACGGTCACAGTGTCGCCCAATCTGGCCCAATCAAATCCAATCCCAAATTGGGGGCGCCCAATCAAATCCAATCTGCGAATAATTCGCACGCCAATCGCACAAAGAAGATAAAAAATGACCACCACAATGGTCACGTGGTGCGCAAGCAAACATATTATCACTATTATAGCGAACAATAAAACTTTTTTAAAAAACAACCCTTTTACGCGGGTTTAAGTGTTAATATTATCCGAGAGAAGTATATTTTTGGGAAAAAATTCTGTGTTCGACACGATAACGTTTACAGCGATAAGCATACCAAAAAAAAATTGCATAATATTTTCTACAAATTACCAACCCCAATAAGGGGGTCAACGGAGAACGTAACCACCCACTTCGATGAGAAGACGTAAAGAAACACATTACGCAACCATTTTGCATCCTACGGCAACGATACGGACCGTAGGTGCCTCAATTTCACGTTTAAACGACGGTCACAGTGTCGCCCAATCTGGCCCAATCAAATCCAATCCCAAATTGGGGGCGCCCAATCAAATCCAATCTGCGAATAATTCGCACGCCAATCGCACAAAGAAGGTAAAAAATGACCACCACAATGGTCACGTGGTACGCAAGCAAACATATTATCACCATTATAGCGAACAATAAAACTTTTTTAAAAAACAACCCTTTTACGCGGGTTTAAGTGTTAATATTATCCGACAGGAGTATATTTTTGGGAAAAAATTCTGTGTTCGACACGATAGGATTTATGACGATAAGCATACTCAAAAAAAAATGTATAAATATTTTCCTGCGTATTAGCAACCCCCATAAGGAGGTCGACGGAGAACGTAACCACCCCCTTCGATGAGAAGTCGTAAAGAAACACATTACGCAACCATTTTGCATCCTACGGCAACGATACGGACCGTAGGTGCCTCAATATTACGTTTAAACGACGGTCACAGTGTCGCCCAATCTGGCCCAATCAAATCCAATCCCAAATTGGGGGCGCCCAATCAAATCCAATCTGCGAATAATTCGCACGCCAATCGCACAAAGAAGATAAAAAATGACCACCACAATGGTCACGTGGTGCGCAAGCAAACATATTATCACTATTATAGCGAACAATAAACCTTTTTTAAAAAACAACCCTTTTACGCGGGTTTAAGTGTTAATATTATCCGAGAGAAGTATATTTTTGGGAAAAAATTCTGTGTTCGACACGATAACGTTTACAGCGATAAGCATACCAAAAAAAAAATTGCATAATATTTTCTACAAATTACCAACCCCAATAAGGGGGTCAACGGAGAACGTAACCACCCACTTCGATGAGAAGACGTAAAGAAACACATTACGCAACCATTTTGCATCCTACGGCAACGATACGGACCGTAGGTGCCTCAATTTCACGTTTAAACGACGGTCACAGTGTCGCCCAATCTGGCCCAATCAAATCCAATCCCAAATTGGGGGCGCCCAATCAAATCCAATCTGCGAATAATTCGCACGCCAATCGCACAAAGAAGATAAAAAATGACCACCACAATGGTCACGTGGTGCGCAAGCAAACATATTATCACTATTATAGCGAACAATAAAACTTTTTTAAAAAACAACCCTTTTACGCGGGTTTAAGTGTTAATATTATCCGAGAGAAGTATATTTTTGGGAAAAAATTCTGTGTTCGACACGATAACGTTTACAGCGATAAGCATACCAAAAAAAAATTGCATAATATTTTCTACAAATTACCAACCCCAATAAGGGGGTCAACGGAGAACGTAACCACCCACTTCGATGAGAAGACGTAAAGAAACACATTACGCAACCATTTTGCATCCTACGGCAACGATACGGACCGCACGTGCCTCAATATTACGTTTAAACGACGGTCACAGTGTCGCCCAATCTGGCCCAATCAAATCCAATCCCAAATTGGGGGCGCCCAATCAAATCCAATCTGCGAATAATTCGCACGCCAATCGCACAAAGAAGATAAAAAATGACCACCACAATGGTCACGTGGTGCGCAAGCAAACATATTATCACTATTATAGCGAACAATAAACCTTTTTTAAAAAACAACCCTTTTACGCGGGTTTAAGTGTTAATATTAATAATAATAATAATAATATGGTTTATTTGCCCAACAGAAAATATTTTCCAATAATAGGAAATATTATCCGAGAGAAGTATATTTTTGGGAAAAAATTCTGTGTTCGACACGATAACGTTTACAGCGATAAGCATACCAAAAAAAAATTGCATAATATTTTCTACAAATTACCAACCCCAATAAGGGGGTCAACGGAGAACGTAACCACCCACTTCGATGAGAAGACGTAAAGAAACACATTACGCAACCATTTTGCATCCTACGGCAACGATACGGACCGTAGGTGCCTCAATTTCACGTTTAAACGACGGTCACAGTGTCGCCCAATCTGGCCCAATCAAATCCAATCCCAAATTGGGGGCGCCCAATTTCAAATCCAATCTGCGAATAATTCGCACGCCAATCGCACAAAGAAGATAAAAAATGACCACCACAATGGTCACGTGGTGCGCAAGCAAACATACAGGGTTAGTCACGAGAGAATTACTTCTGAAAATTATTTTTACGCAACCCAAAATACGAATATCATGTACCATTTGATACTAACTGAATTTAAAATGAAATGCTTAATCCATGATTGCTTTGAGTTTGGCAATCTCATTTTGACAATTGTGGAAAATGAGGTTACGCGAGTGTTCATGGTGGTACCGCAGCCAGTCGGAAATCTCCTCCGGCGCCGCTAATAAATTTGTCAGTGTGCCTCTTGATCTTTTACAACCGATTAATCACGAAAAAATTATTTCTAAAAATTCCTTTTACGGCATTTTATTCAAAGGTTACAACACAAACTCAAACAAGTAAGTAAATAACTTAACTACTAATCTGTTGAAAATGTTGGGCATTTTGGGGGGATGCTACGGCTTTTTTGTAAATGGATGGCTGAAGAAGTCCAGAGGTTGCAGATTTGCACTTCAAAGGGACTCTAGGTGACGCAGAGATGGCGAATTAACACATACACATTAGCGGCGAACAACATTGGTAGAGCACTTACGGCTTCAGTATAGCCCAGATTGATCTGACTGTATGTCGTCGATCCAATGGGGCTCTAGAGGCGAGTCAACGATGAAAAAAAAAAAATGTTAAAAATTAATTAACGTCAAAGTGACAATGCCAAGTCAAAGCAATCATGGATTAGGCATTTCATTTTAAATTTAGATAATATCAAGCGGTACAGGGTATTAGTATTTTGGGTTGCGTAAAAATAATTTTCAGAAGTAATTCTCTCGTGACTAACCCTGTATTATCACTATTATAGCGAACAATAAACCTTTTTTAAAAAACAACCCTTTTACGCGGGTTTAAGTGTTAATATTATCCGAGAGAAGTATATTTTTGGGAAAAAATTCTGTGTTCGACACAATGAAATGTATAACTGTAATCATGATTAAAAAAGTTATATAAATATTTTGTATAAATTAGCAACCCCTGTAAGGGGGTTGACGCTGAACGTAACGACCCACTTTGATAAGAAAACGTAAAGGGACACATAACAATTATTTTTTATTCTACGGGAATGGTCCTGACCAGACTTGGCTCAATATTGCGTTTAAACGACATTCATAGTGTCGCCCAATCAAATACAATCTGCGAATAATCCGCACACCCATCTCACACAGAAGGTACACACAGGGTGGTAATCTGGTACGCAAGCAAGCATATTATCACCATTTTAACGAATAATAAAACTTTTTTAGAAAACAACCCTGTTACGGGGTTTTAAGGGTTAATACTGCACCACCGGAGTATACTATTGGAAAAAAATTCTGTGTTCGACACAATAAAATGTATAACTATAAACATGAGAAGTTAGATATTTTGTATAAATTAGCAACCCCTGTATGAGGGTTGACGCAGAACGTACTGACTCACTTAATAATAATAATAATAATAATCGTAATTTATTATCCAACAGACAAAGATCTATGTGGATACTTGTACATAACTCCGGATAAGTATACACAAATACATATAACAAAAAAAGAAAGAAATCAATACAAAACAATTATATAACTAAACACTAATCACTAAAAAATTATATAACTCAACATGCAGGAATGTCAACTACAGTGGCGTAAGAACTGCATTTTTACACAGATAAGTGAAATGTTTGATATTCTGTAAAAAGATGTCAGCAAGAGGAGCAATATTATTGTAACTTCTGCACATATTATATAACGGCGAATAGAAATGTTGATTAGTTCTACACCAATCTATTGCAAATGTTCCAGCATATCTACAATTTAAGCGCGGTATGTGAAAACTAAGATTACCAAGCAGATTTTGTGAAAAAATTTTCCCGTGAATCAGCTGATGTAAAAATATAATATTTGCCACCGTTCTTCTATCCTTCAACGAGTATAGATTAAATTCATTGAAAAGAACTACGCTCGAACAAGTTCTTACGGGATATCTGCCGAATTTAACATAAAATAAATGTTTACAAAATTTTCTTTGAATACGCTCTATTGAAGATATATGAATTTTGTAGTATGGATCCCATACGACGGATGAATATTCCAGTTTAGAACGAATAAATGAATAATATAATACAAGCAAAGAATCAACATTGGTAAAACCGACAGTATTTCTTATAATAAACCCTAACATTCTATTAGCATGATCACAAATATGTTGAAAATGGGGTATAAATGACAATTTTGAATCAACCACAACACCAAGGTCTTTAATTTGGAATATTCTATCTATTTCTGTATCGTTTAATTCATACTTAAATTGTGTAGTATCAGGTGATCTAGAAAAGGTTATTACTTTACATTTGGCTACATTAATATTTTGTTTATTATTGTGACACCATATAATAAAATTATTAAGATCATTTTGAAGCGAGTAACAATCATCAAGCGTGGTAATAGTTTTAGCCACCTTCATGTCATCAGCGCACACAAAGATAGGACACTTAAATTCTAAAAGTGCGTCATTGAAGTATATAATAAATAAAATAGGTCCAAGGTTTGACCCTTGCGTTACACCACTCGTAGTTACATAAGTTTGAGAGCGAAAACCACGGTACTCAACATACTGAATGCGATTACACAAAAAGGATTGAAATAACTTTATTAAATTACTACACAGGCCAAATTTGCTCAACTTATCAAGCAAAATCGAGTGATTAACCACATCGAAAGCTTTAGATAAATCTGTGTAAATAACATCAACTTGTTTTTTACTTTCAAGAGAATCAGATATGTATTGGATGTATTCACACAGATTTGTTGAAGTTGACTTTCCTTTTATAAAGCCATGTTGACTGGGGCTAAGTTGATTAGATACATGACTATATAAATTATTAGCTACAATTCTTTCAAAGATCTTACTAAAATTTGAAACTATTGCAATGGGCCTATAATTCTCGATGTTATTACGTACGCCAGATTTGAAGACCGGGATAACTTTAGTAGACTTCCACTTATTAGGATATGCAGCCTCAGCAATAATTAAATTAAACAAGTAGCAAAGGGGTTCACATAAACAAGAAATACAGTCTTTTACAAGGAAAGCAGGCACATTGTCAGGACCCATAGTAAAATTAGAATTGACTTTTTTGACGGCATCCAAAATATCACAGGTATTTATTACGAAATTGTGTAAGACGCTCACTATATCACTTTCTCTATCATAGACTGGGAAACTATCACAGATATTATCACTACTAAAGACGTCACTGAAATGAATCGCGAAATGATTGACAATTTCTTGTGGATCAGTTAGTTCAATACCATTATTGAACACATGGCCTGGGATACTCGAGACATTTTTCTTTTGATTAATATATGCCCATAAATGAGATGAGAACTCGTGAAGAGACGCATAACACAACTGTTTTGTATTCTACGGCAATGATCCTGACCAGACGTGGGTCAAAATTACGTTTAAACGACGTTCACAATGTCATTAGTCAATTCAATTTTGAAACATTGTTTGTAATCCAGGTTCAGGTGGAATCGGTATTTTGGGTTGCCTATTTTAAAAACATAAATGGATCATCTTAGCTGAATAACCCTGTATATGCAATAATTTTAAACACGGTTCCCCACCCTGGTAGTATCGAAATATAGAAAAAACAAATTGAAAATCGAATGGGGCAAAACCTCCGTGAACCACCTTCGATACGAAGACGCTCAGCCACCTCGTAAACAGAGTTGGAAAAACGTTCGAATAAAAACGACGTAAACACTTTCAGTTTCAATTAAAAGTAAAACCGACTTTTTGCTGCTTATCACTCATTCGTGGATTCATTCATCGTTAATGGTCAGTGCTAAAGTTTTTTTGGTAATGCTTCATGACGATCGACTTTTGATTTTAACGGATGTTTGGTCCTTGCCACAACGATTTTACATTGTTTATTGGAACAAAAATAAGAGTAACTTAGAATGCTACAAGAAGTGTTGAAAATGTTGTCCCTGAGTAGCAATACAGGCGTCAGAGCGTCGCAAGATGTTTGTTGATAAATATCACTTGTTCTTGAAGCTCTACGATATTGTCTGGACACTGTTGATTTCCACAAACTAACTGTTGCATCCAACCGATACACGTTTATCGAAAACGGTCTCTTGAACTGGTACTTGTTGACGAGCATGTGGAGTCTCATCGGACAAAAAATGAGTGTTGTCGCTATTGAACTAGTAAGTTGCATGGTTCGAAAAAAACGTTTTTTAGGAATCATGATAAAACAATATCGTAAATGGCGTTGGCATGGCACTAACGAAGAAAAACAATTCCGTGAAATCTACGTTGAATGGTTTCATTAACGTATGTTTGTATTACATACACCATTGTCTTTTCAAATTTATGATCCGGTCTTCCCCATCGTAGCAGTGTTTAAAGTTCCTATCCAGTGTTTCTACCAAATCCGAAAACACCAAACTAACACTAGGCTTATTCTTTATTTGAATATCAGAGTGTAGGTCCTATTAACAGAAATCAGTCTCTAAACGTGGAATCATATTACCTATCTCTTGGTGTGCGAAAAAGACGAGGATACAAGCTAGAGCTGGTCGCCCATCAAACGTCTTTTAATCTATCGTCTTCGACGTACCATATGAAATGCGAAAAAGGACCATTAACTATATAGACGATTCTTGCCGTCAGCCTTCGTGTCATTACTAACAGGATAGTGATACAAATGGTATAATTTGTTGTCAGCTTAACCAAAATATCATCAGTATTCATCAGTGATATTACTGACTACCTGTGTAGGTACTTTTAAAAACGAGATACCGTCGCGAGCAAAAAATTCTGGTCGTCAGTATCAGCGTGTGCCATTTAATTCGGTGCACAAAAATGACATTGACGACTAGAATTTTTTGCTCACGATGATAGGTGCGATTTTAATGTCGGCCTTTCCATGTGAAACAGCATGTGTGAATAAACATGTGTTCGCATGATTGATGAAACAATTGAGGACGCTCGTTTAGGTAACCAATTTGAAAAACCGTCGTCATTTATTGGTTTGGGTTCTTCACTTCCGATCGGCACCTATTATAGGTCTAAAGTTCAAACTTCTATTATGGGCTGTAACACGTTTCTACATATAAAACGCTGTGGTGTCCAAATGTGGATTCAAATTTGGCGAAAAAAAAAAAAACAACGGGACGAAATCGCATTTGAATAATTTGAATAAAAGAAATTAAGAAAATCGTTAAATCTTGGCAACCAAGTGTAACGTTTCATCCATGTGTGAATTTAGGGCGACATGTTTGGGTTATCACAAGGCATTGAAATGATTATAATTTTATTTATTTGCTTAAAAGGTGGCTTTCATACGTACATACTTACTAGAAAGCTCTCGAGAAAACCCAAGGCGTCGTACCGAGGCGGCGTATGAGTTTATTTCGTAACAATAATAAAAATAATAATAATGTTAAGCGGGTATTACGGACATCAATGCGAATATTGTATTAGTATTTATCTTCCCTTGTCCATGAATGAGGTTGTCAATGTATTAAATGAAATATAGCACTAAAAACAGATTCACTCTCATTGATCGAATATGTATTAGTGTCGGTGTTACAAAAATTTATCAGGAATCTTTGCCGCAAAAAGTACAATCGTTTAATTGTGTCGGCTAGAAGTTTCAACA